AGGCGCCGAGCCTATATAACCAGCTTTAACAGTTAGAACTATTTCATCTCTCTGTGCCTCAACTCTTCTTTTTTGTACTAGGAAAACTGCAGTGCTATTCCCAAGAAGTACTAGGCAATCAAGAAATTTGGTGAAGTTATAAACCCCTAAGAGAGGAAAAGTTGAGAAAACACACTCAATTCTCTTTTAAGAAAAATGAGAGCATGGACTTCTTACTAAGTCTCATCTAGAGTCAGAATTTCATGCAGAATTTTTCAAATGACCTTAGGTATTCCTTTTCTCTCTGTTGTTTTTCTCTGGCTACTTTTGTTTCTTCAAGTTGTAACTGGGCTAACATCTGATTCATTTTCTCCTTTGTACATGTTTCTTCATGAACGCTCATTCTTAAGATCCTCTGCTCTTCAGCATAACGTTGTTGCTCTCTCTTTTTCTTAATTCTGAGAATAAAATCATAACATAGTTAGGAATTTCATAAAATTATTTACCATTAGCTTTTAAATCCAAATAATTCAAGAAATTCCCAGAAACAGAAGAGTGAGGAAACCAGGATAATACCCAAAGAGTATCTTCAAAAATTCCTGCTGGCTGATTTGAGTTTATTCTGTATTTCATCTCTCCACATATTATCTTAAAAGAAAATGAGCAATGGCTACTATTAAGAGTTTTTCTTTCGTTCGTTTTTTTTTCTTTCTTTCTTTTTTTTTTGAGACAGAGTCTTACTATGTAGTCCTGGGTACAGTGCCATGGCGTCACAGCTCATAGCAACTTCAGACTCTTAGGCTTAATCGATTTTCTTGTCTCAGCCTCCCAAGCAGCTGGGATTACGGTAAGGTGACCAGATTTTAACACTGGTAAAGCGGGACAGCATTGGGGGGGGGGGTTAAGGCGTTCTTAATTAAAAATTTGGTCTATATGGAGCAACAAAAATTTTCATAGAACGCAAAAATAGTATTGTAATATATTTTTTAAAATTTCAACATAAGTACAATTTACAAATATAATACATTTTAAAAATTACATATAGTATTATTTTATTCTTTATCATGTTTCTCATCGGATTCTAACAACTGAGCAACAATGCGAACTTTGATAAGCAGTTCTCGATAATCAGTTCTCAACAATTATCTGTTATTATTAAAGTTTAACATTATAAAATTAACAAAAATAATAGAACACTCATATCCTGGTGAAATAGCCACATGGCAGCCAAAAACCATATATTCCCTTCCCATTTTCCTGCTGTTCCCTGGCTTGTCATGCATTCTTTCCAAAAATCGAGACTTTTCTAAAACACCGTAGGACACGGGACAATTGTTAAAAATCGGGACTGTCCCGCCAAAAGCAGGACATCTGGTCACCTTAGATGCCTGCCACAATGCCCAGCTATTCTTTTGTTGTTGTTGCAGTTGTCATTGTGTAGCTAGCCTGAGCCAAGTTTGAACCTGCTACCCTTGGTGCATGTGGCCAGCGCCATAGCCACTGTGCTATGGGCACCAAGCCTATTAAAAGAATTTTTCTATAAAAATCCTAGCATAAGGCTCAGCACCTGAAGCTCAGTGGCTAGGGCGCCAGCTGTATACACTGGAGCCAGAGGGTTCGAACCCAGCCAGGGCCTGCCAAACAACAATGACAACTGCAACCAAAAAGTAGCCGGGTGTTGTGGCAGCTGGCCTGTAGTTCCAGCTACTTGGGAAGCTGAGGCAAGAGAATTGCTTAAGCCCAAGAGTTTGAGGTTGCTGTGAACTGTGATGCCATGGTAATCTACCCAGGGTGACATAATGAGACTGTCTCAAAAAGAAAAAAAAATTCCTAACACAAGAGCCTTCCTCAGGTCAAAACTACAAGTAAACAGGACTTCTGTTTCTGGTCAAAATAGAGTTAACAGTGACTCGGCGCCTATGGCTCAAGTGGCTAAGGCGCCAGCCACATACACCTAGGGTGGCGGGTTCGAATCCAGCCTGGGCCCACCAAACAACAATGACGGCTGCAACCAAAAAATAGCTGGGTGTTGTGGCAGGCGCCTGTGGTCCCAGCTACTTGGGAGGCTGAGGCAGGAGACTCGCTTGAGTCCAGGAGTTGGAGGTTGCTGTCAGCTGCGATGCCACAGCACTCTACCCAGGGGGACAGCCTGAGACCCTGTCTCCAAAAAAAAAAGAGTAACAGGGATTAGAATTGTCCTCCTACCTTAAACAACAACAACAACAAAAAAAAAAATTAAAAAAATAAACTAGACAAATACAAGAAACAATGATTTTTCAAGACACTAGATGTCAGGCAACAAAGACACTCAACCCTGACAGCTAGATAACAAAGTAAGTCCTAGAAATGCCAGAGATGACTACCTTAAGTTTCTTTCTTTCTTTCTTTCTTTTTAGAGACAGAGTCTCATTTGTGGCCGTTGGTAGTGCCCTGGCGTCATAGCTCACAGCAACCTCAAACTCTTGGGCTCAAGTGATCCTCTTGCCTTAGTCTCCCAAGTAGCTGGGACTATAGGCACCTGCCACAACGCCCTGCTATTTTTAGAGACAGGGTCTTGCTTTTGGCTCAGGCTGGCCTGAAACCTGTGAGCTCAGGTAATCCACCCTCCTCAGCCTCCCTGAGTGCTAGAATTACAGGTGTGAACCACTGTGCCTGGCCCATTAAAAGTTTCTAGACAGTGGCCCGGGACAAGGGAATTAAAGTGGAAACTGGTGGGCTCCCTGAATTGAGGAGATGGAATTATGAGTACAAGGAGACAAAGGCAAGTAGAGTTCACAGGACAAAATACAAGAGGAGAACTATTCAAGGAAAGAATCCCAAAGATAGAGTCTCATTCTAGGACACAGCAGAACACTGACTGGTTCATGTGTGTAAGCAAATGCCTGAGGCTGGGGAAAGAACCATCTAAAATAAGAGAAAACACTGCACTGAGAATAGTGCTCACTCCTACCAGTCAGACTTGAAAAGCTCATAACTCACAGAGCATTAGGTCTTCAGGAAGAATTTACCTTAGCAGTAGGGAATAATGTTAGTCCTAGACTGAGCATTGCTCCAAACTCACCTAACCAATAAATAAAAGCAAGTCCTCAAAGCAACTGCTGCATACCAAAACAAAGCTCAAGAAAATTTATAGGAATACAAAGATATTCAACAATGGACAAGGTAAAATTCCCAATGTTGGACATCCAACCAAAGATTATCAAGCACACAAAGAAGCAAGAAAGCACAACTAATGACAAGGAGAACAAACAATCGAAATGGCCTAGAACTGACACAGCTGTTACAATTAGCAGAGGACAAAAAATCAGTTACTACAATTATATTCCACATGTTCAAAAAGTAAAGATACAAAAAGGCCTGAAATCAAACTTACAAAAATAAAAACTACAACTTTAAAACTATAATAAAAAACATATCAAATGGGCTTATGGCCAGATTAGATGTTAAAGAAGTAAATTAGAAAGTGTAACGATAGAAATTACCCAAGATAAATCACAGGGAAAAAATCCGCTATGTGGATATACTACATGGTTCTATGTGTTATTTTCTTATTCATCAGTTTTTTGACATTGAGGTGCTAGTATCCAAAGTGGCTGAATTTTACATTCCTCACTAGCAATGTACATAATTCCAATTTCTCCAGCACTTGTTTTTATCTTTTTTATTATAGCCATTTTAGTGGGTATGGACTAGGGTCTCATGGTTTTGTTTTGGATTTCCCAATAACTAGTGATGTTCAGCATCTTTTCAAGTATTTATTAGCCATTTGTATATTTTCCTGGGGGAAATGTTAAATTTGAATCCTGTCTACTTTTTTATTGGGTTAATTATCTTTTCACTGCTGAGTTGGATGTAAGAGTTCTTTATATATTGTAGATAGAAGTCCCTTGTCAGATATATGATTTACACATATTTTCTCCCATTCTATAGTTGTCTTTCTTGATGACTTTTAATTTTGATGAGGTCTAACTTATTGATCTTCTCTTTTATTGTTTGTTGGATACTGAGTTTTGACAAACACACACAGGCAATGCAGTGGAAAAAATAGCTTCTTTAACAAATGGCTGTCCATATGTCAAAAAAAGCCTCACACCATTCGAGATCTGAGGATTCATTCTGCTAACTCACCACTGTGTGCTTATGTGGGCAGCACTGTACAAACAGCTTGGGAAGGCGTCATAATCTCACTACCTCAGCATCTCTCAACTGTAATCCTGTCCACATGTGGTGGAGTCTTGCTGGGGGTGTTACTGTTGCTCCATGTTCCTGTGTGCCCTTGTGAGAATGTCAGAGCTTAAATCAGAGCAACGAACAAATACTCAATTTCTTGTTAAACTTGGCAAGAGTGGATATGAAATCAGGAACATTTTAGTTCAAGTTTATGGGAATAATGCGATGAAGAAAACATCAGCGTACAAAAGGATTAATGTTTTTGTGAGGGGAGAGAAAGCGTCACTAATGAAGAGAGGTCAAGGCAGCCAGTAACGAGCAGAACTGATTTAAACATTGCAAAAATTCATCTTATTATGTGTCAAAATTGTTGGTTGACTTTGAGAAGCATAGCAGACCAAATAAATAGCTGATAACCAGGAAAATCTTTACTGAAAATCTTGGAATGGGAAAGGTGTGAGCAAAATGGTGTCTCAAAGGAGCTCACTGATGAACAAAAGTGAAAAGCTCACATGGCACCGTCTGTGAGGAAGTGTTCAGCTAGTAAGCAAATATTTGTATTGGTACACCCTCCCTACTCACCTGATATGGCCCCTAGGGACTTATTTCTTTACCAGAGAAATAAGATAAAGGAAATATTGAAAAGAAGACATTTTGATGACATTCAGGATATCAAGGAATGACAGCTCTGATGGGCATTCCAGAATTCCTTTCAAGGGCGCACAGGCATTGGTGTCAGTGCACACCTTCCCTAGGGGAGTATTTCAAAGGACTGCAGTGATATTCAGCAATGAAGTAGGCATCACTTTTTCTAGAATGAGTTTGCAAACTTAACTGCCAGACCTTGTATCTAAAAATAACTCAAACTAGATTACAGACTTAAATGTAAAACTTAAAATGATAAGCTATCTAAAAGGAAACAGAAGAAAATCTTCATGACCTTAGGTTGGGCAACAATTTGTTAAATATGACACAAAAAGCACAATCTATAAAAGAGCAAACTGAAAAATAGGAACTCATCAAAATTTAAACGTCCACTCTTAGAATTTGGTTCCAGCTGGTTCTCCCACCACCTGAGCAGTGGCCACGCAGCCTAGCTTGCCAAAGTGCCCAAGAGGAAGGTGAGCTCAGCCAAATAGGTGGTGAAGGGAGAGCATAAAAGGAGATGGGGCCATTGTCAGCTAACCCTGCTCCTGCAAAAGTGGAAACAAAAGGGTAGCAGGAAAGTATAAATCTTTAGGGAAAAAAGTACAAACAAAAAGAGAAGAGGGGCAAAGGGAAAAAAGAC